CCTACCTCCCTCCCCTACCTCCCTCCCCCACCCCCTACCTCCCTCCCCCACCCCTTACCTCCCTCCCCTACCTCCCTCCCCTACCTCCCTTGCCTACCTCCCTCCCCTACCTCCCTCCCCCACATCCCTCCCCCACCCTCTACCTCCCTGGCTGTTATTATCCATTTTGCTTGAAAATTACCCCTTCCATTTGCCATGAAGAATTATCCTTCCCGTTTTTATTCATTCTTTGACCTCCCTTTCGTTTTTTTTCTACTTTTTTTTTCTTTCTTTGTGCTTACCAATTACCATGTTGGTCCTCCATAGGGTTGGGTTTCATCTTCTTCCCTTACATTTCCTGTTCCACCACCTGGAGTGCAGAGGAAGAAGTTGTGGAAGCCACCTCCCGCCGTAAATTAAAAACCGGATTCGACAATGAATTCAAACGTTGTTGTTGTTATAGATTAAGCTACTCGGAACAAGTTCCAAGTAGCACGGGCTATGGTGAGCCCGTAACTTACCTGGCACAGGAGCGGGGCAAGTAGCACGGGCTATGGTGAGCCAGTAGTGGACTTACCTGGCACAGGAGCGGGGCAAGTAGCACGGGCTATGGTGAGCCCGTAGTGGACTTACCTGGCACAGGAGTGGGGCAAGTAGCACGGGCTATGGTGAGCCAGTAGTGGACTCACCTGGCACAGGAGCGGGGCAAGTAGCACGGGCTATGGTGAGCCAGTAGTGGACTTACCTGGCACAGGAGCGGGGCAAGTAGCACGGGCTATGGTGAGCCAGTAGTGGACTTACCTGGCACAGGAGCGGGGCAAGTAGCACGGGCTATGGTGAGCCCGTAGTGGACTTACCTGGCACAGGAGTGGGGCAAGTAGCACGGGCTATGGTGAGCCAGTAGTGGACTCACCTGGCACAGGAGCGGGGCAAGTAGCACGGGCTATGGTGAGCCAGTAGTGGACTTACCTGGCACAGGAGCGAATTATGAATTATAAATAATTCAAACGCCAGCCAAGTTCATATATAATATACCAGGCACATACAACACGGCTATAATAGGAGGCGCATGAAGAACTACACATCACTGACCCCTAGACATTGTTAGGTAGACCTGTGGTGCCCTGTCACCCCCCTTACGGGTTATTCATGCCCGTGCCACCTCCTAGTTGGCTTCATCTTAATCAATCAATCAATCACCTGTCACTCCGTTGTTGACGTTCCCTTCTGCAGGATGTTGGGGGAGGGGGGGGGTCAACCACCTCCTGCTAGTTCCACCCATCCTTCCGTTATCCTCCTAGTAGATAAGTTCTTGCAAGAAGTGCCGGACCAACCGGGCTGTAGTGGATACGTGGGCCTGCGGGCCGCTCCAAGCAACAGCCTATTGGACAAGGCTCTCAAAAGTCGAGCCTGGCCCACCCTGACAGCTGGGTGGACAGCGCTTCGGATTCGTAGTCCTGAGGTTCCGGATTCGATCCCCGGTAGAGGCAGAGACAAATGGGCAAAATGTTTCTTTCACCCTGATGCACTTGTTACCTAACAGGAAATTAGGTACCTGGGAGTTAGACAGCTGCTACGGGCTGCTTCCTGGGGGTGTGTAACAAAAAGGAGGCCTGGTCGAGGACCGGGCCGCCGGGACGCTAAGCTCCAAAATCATCTCAAGATAACCCCTCAAGATGACCTGCCTTGCCGAGAGGATCTTGGTAGTAGAACTCCCCGAGATCCTCTCCAGGTATGCAAGTAGCATACCTTGAGGTGCTTCCGGGGCTTAGAGTCCCCGAGGACCGGTTGTCGACCAGGCCTCCAGGTTGCTGGACTGATCAACCAGGCTGTTGGACGCGGCTGCTCGCATCAACAAATATTCGGGACAGGGGGGGGGAGGGTGATTGGACGGTAGTTAATGGTTGGCGAGAAGGAACCTGGTTGATACCTGGTTGATGGGGTTCTGGGAGTTCTTCTACTCCCCAAGCCCGGCCTAAGGCCAGGCTTGACTTGTGAGAGTTTGGTCCACCAGGCTGTTGCTTGGACCTGCTCTTCATTGGGTCTGTTCTGCATTTTCTTCCATATCGTTCACTCCAGTACGTTGTTATTTTACTGTGCAGATTGGGGACGTGGCCCTCCAGTATCTTCCACGTGTATATTATTTGACATCTCTCTCGTCTCCTTTCTAGTGAGTACATTTGGAGAGCTTTGAAACTATCCCAATAAAATTTAGGTGCTTTATCGCGTCTCTCTGTATTCCCTCATTTCAGCAGTCTCTCCTGCTCTGAAGGGGGAAGTGAGTACTGAGCAGTACTCAAGACGGGACAACACAAGTGACTTGAAGAGTACAACCATTGTGATGGGATCCCTGGATTTGAAAGTTCTCGTAATCCATCCTATCATTTTTCTGGCTGACGCAATATTTGCTTGGTTATGCTCCCTAAACGTTAGGTCGTCAGACATCATTATTCCCAAATCCTTTACATGCTGTTTTCCTACTATGGGCACATTTGATTGTGTTTTGTACTCTGTATTATGTTTAAGGTCCTCATTTTTTCCGTACCTGAGTACCTGGAATTTATCACTATTAAACATCATGTTATTGTCTGCTGCCCAGTCGAAAACTTTATTAATATCTGCTTGTAGTTTTTCAATGTCTTCAAGAGAAGTAATTTTCATGCTGATTTTTTTGTCATCTGCAAAGGATGATACGAAGCTGTGACTTGTATTTGAGTCTATATCTGATATGAGAATACCTTGGAGTTACCTTGGCGTTTTTCCGGGGCATAGCGTTCCCGCGGCCCGGTTGTCGACCAGGCCTCTTCGTTGCTGGACTGGTCAACCAGGCTGTTTGACGCGGCTGCTTGCAGCCTGACGTATGAATCACAGCCTGGTTGATCAGGTATCCTTTGAAAGTGCTTCAAAGGAAAAGCAGCGGTGCAAAGACTGTACCCTGAGGTACAGAGCTAGTTTATTCCTGGCAGAAGGGGAAGGGGGGGGGGTGAGGTGTTGGATAGGTGAGGGATGGATGGCAGGTAGGTGAGGACCGCTGCTCAGATGGCCGCCCTGAATGAAACGTGAGCCAGCTGCCTAGGACCACTGAGGTAAGTGATCCTTCCTCCCCCCCCCCCATGGTCAGGTTCTTGCCGCTCCCTCCATGAGCTCTTCCCTGTTACTTCCCTCCCCCTCCCTCACCCCTTCCCCTCTCCCTGTTCCACTTCCCCCTCCTCCCTCTCCCTGTTTCACTCCCCCCTCCTCCCTCTCCCTGTTCCACTCCCCCCTCCTCCCTCTCCCTGTTCCACTCATTCCCCCTCTCTGTTCCACTTCCACCCTCCCTGTTCCACTCCCCCCCGTCCCTATTCCTGTTCCACTTCCCCGGCCCTCGTCACGGATTGTACCAGACGTCTCTCCCATTTTCGTGTGTGCGCGCTCCACTTCTCCTATTGAATAATACATCGCATTTTGACGTCAAAATTCCCAGCGGACAAAACATGAACTCGTCCCTCGGGGCAAAATTAAAAAACAAAAATTAAAATGTTTTTTTCTCTGCGTAGGTTGCTTGGTTAGGTTTGGGCTAGAGTGTTTTAGTACAGCGTTTTTATGTCCGTTGTGGCAACTGGAGAGGACCCGCTGGAGGGAGAGGGGAGATTTTTTTACGGCTTGTCGTTATTGCATATGCACGATTTGCAATTACTCCCCCCACCCTCCCCGTTCGAGAATGATCCACTTGTTTATTGGGCGTGCTTTCAGACATGACTATTGCCGCGGTGGACCCCTCACTGTAAGCGTGAACCCAATGCCCCCTTCCCTACCCAGTCTCCCGTCCTCAAAGCTTATAGTGAGCGCGACCATCAGAGACCCGGCACGCACCGCTCCTGTGCCAGGTAAGTCCACTACGGGCTTACCATAGCCCGTTCTACTTACCCCGCTCCTGTGCCAGGTAAGTTATGGGCTCACCATAGCCCGTGCTACTTGGAGCTTGTTCCGAGTAGCTGAATCTGTAACAACAACATCATCATCAGAGCCCAGGCTGGGTGAGCGCGCTGTCCTGTGTCACAGCAACGAGACCAGGATTAATGTTCTTAACATGTCGTGTCCTTCTGAAGCGCTTCTCGATCGCCTCGTTGGAATGGCCGGCTCGAGGTGCGTCAGGGATGTACAGGGTAGAAATAGCCTGAATAGAAATGATAGAAAATAGAAACTTCGGGGGGTTAGAAATTGCCTAAGCTACTGAACAAATCCACAAGGGCCGTGACGAGGATTCTAGCCTAAAGTTCAATTTCAATTTCAATAGAATAAGTAGCCTAAGATCGAGGAGTAGCCTAAGCTACTCTATCCCTTCGAGATGTATTTCTTTGTCTCAATAAACATACTTGAACTTGATGTACAGGAGCGTGACATGCAGTGACATTTAACACATTGCTCCGCCAAATTTTTTGATAAACTGTTCTTAATCATGTTTTTTTTTTTTAATTTTGTGAGGATATGTGCATTTGAAACATTATCTCAGGAATTAGCACCGTAATTGGTGGATAGTTAAGAACCCAGGTTATGGTGGTGGTGTAGACGGCTTGGGATTACTGTGGGGGTGAAGTTGAAGTTTGAAGAGAACATTGCGACTTGTTTGGTGGTATAATTAAGTTATTCCTGTATTGTGGGAATGGTTGTGGCGCCACCAGCGACAGGTGTGTCACGTGGCGGTGCCCAGAGCTGGTGTGTCACCAGCAGGTGTGTGGCGCCCTCAGCGATAGGTGTGTCACGCGGCGGTGCCCAGAGCTGGTGTGTCACCAGCAGGTGTGTGGCGCCACCAGCGACAGGTGTGTCACGTGGCGGTGCCTAGGGCTGGTGCGTCACCAGCAGGTGTGTGGCGCCCTCAGCTACAGGTGTGTCACGTGGCGGTGCCCAGAGCTGGTGTGTCAACAGCAGGTGTGTAGGGTGAGGCGTCAACGTCTGCTGGTGGTGGTTGCGTCAATTAAGGAGCGCACACCGACCTTACTAATGTGGATTGACACCTAATGCGAGTGACGCTGGGGGGACACATGATCCACACCTTCATTATCCACACCTGCATTATCCACACCGGCATTATCCACACCGGCATTATCCACACCGGCATTATCCACACCGGCATTATCCACACCGGCATTATCCACACCTGCATTATCCACACCGGCATTATCCACACCAAAGACCAGACGAGACCACCAATGGAGCGGGCAACGTTGTCAGTGCAAACCTAGAGTGACACAGGCCGGACAATGCGTCGTGAACCCAGTGTGTTATGTTCAAAGCTTTGGCTTGTAAATGGGATTGATTTAAGTGAACATTTGTAACCCTGCAACAAGCTAGGCTCATTCTTCATAAGGTTTTTTTTGTCTTTACTTCTTAAATTTATAAATCTAAAGTTCCTCACTGGCTTTAAAGTGAACTTTGAGAACAAGATGGAACTTATGACAAAAAAAACATTTGTATATGGATAGTTTTACGCGCCTAGTTGTTGTTGCTGGCGATGAGCTTCGGATCTTTTGATCCTTGTCACTCTACTGATGTACAGGTTTCTGAGCTTATTGAGCTTTATCATATGTGCATTTGAAGTTGTGCATGTGATGAATGTGTGCATTGTGTGTGTATATGTGCATTTGAAGCTGTGTTTAGTCACCCATCTTGAGGTTATCTTGAGATGATTTCGGGGCTTTAGTGTCCCCGCGGCCCGGTCCTCGACCAGGCCGAGGACCTGGTCGGTTACTACTGTACTCAGTTACTACTGTTACAGTAGTTACTACTGTAGTCAGTTACTACTGTACCCATCAGTTACCATCAGTTACCCATCAGTTACCCATCAGTTACCATCAGTTACCCATCAGTTACCCATCAGTTACCCATCAGTTACTACTGTATTCCATGTATTTACTACTGTGACACTGAAAATGTTTTTTCCAGTGTCTCTGTGGCTCATTTGGGTACTCAGTTTCCGCCCCGTCTCCCCCCCCCCCCCATCCCCTCTTGTGCGAGCACCGCCGCGCTAAACAAGTTGCAATTCGCTCTTGCACAAGACAGCACATATATGACTTATTGCTTATAGTCACTATTTCGCTTATAAATACGTACATATGTGACATATTCCAAGCCATATTTTTTTCAAGGCACTAACTTTTTATCTCAGTTTTATTAAATAGAGATTTTATACAAAATTCGACAATATCCTGAGTTACTTTACAATGTATTTAAATATTTTAGTTTTGTTTTATTATTTTTATAAAACTGTAATATCAATATAGTTATAGTTTCAATAATAATTGTAATATCTTAACATACTAAGAAGGTTAGGTTGTGGTTTTCTATTCAGCTTTTCAAGGTAAACTCAAATATCCACAATAAATTAGTATGTCACATATGCACTTATTCATAAGCAAGATATTGACTATAAGCAAGTGCGAGAACGGGTTGCCAAAATATGATGTGTACCATATGACACCACTTGCTCGGTGTCATATGGTGAGACATTTTGATTCTCCTGTGTACACGTGCCTTTGTTTACGTGCCTTTGTTTACGTCCTTAAGCGTATAGTAATTTCTTCCGGATGCTGCGGCGCAGCAGTTGAAGGCCGTGATAATTGTTACAAACGGTACAAGACAAGTTGAGAGGTTGTGTTTTCCTGCTTGGGTGTATCTCAGCCAGCACACGCGTCCAACAGCTTGGTTGACCAGTCCAGTAACCAGGAGGCCTGGTCGAGGACCGGGCCGCGGGGACGTTGAGCCCCTGAAACCATCGCAAGGTCTCCTTTACCACCGCAACTTCCCGGGCTGGGTTCTTTTTGATGCTCTGCAATTTCAGATGACGGAAAACATGCATGAGGAAGTTTGGGCATCGCGCCTGTGGTTAACTTGTGATATTGGAGGTGGGTTGGTGGGGGGCGGGGGGGGGGAGAAGGGTAGGTGGGTGGAATTGATGGGGGTTGGAGGGGGTTGAGAAGTTGGGTTTGTTACACGGTCGACATGATCTGTGTCAGCGGTAGAGGAAATGTCTCTCAAATTCGTAAATACAAGTTTGAAAAGTAAGGATGGTGGAGGGCGTGGTGTGGGAGGCCGGCGTTCACTGGCAGAGGCTTCTGTGTGGAGCTGGGCGCCTGGATGTCTCTCGTTCTTACCAGTTGTAATAAATTATACTGGATGGTTCTGTAGACACTCGGCCGTGCCCTCCCCGACCACTGGCCACTCGGCCAAGCCCTCCCCGACCACTGGCCACTCGGCCAAGCCCTCCCCGACCACTGGCCACTCGGCCAAGCCCTCCCCGACCACTGGCCACTCGGCCAAGCCCTCCCCGACCACTGGCCACTCGGCCAAGCCCTCCCCGACCACTGGCCACTCGGCCAAGCCCTCCCCGACCACTGGCCACTCGGCCAAGCCCTCCCCGACCACTGGCCACTCGGCCAAGCCCTCCCCGACCACTGGCCACTCGGCCAAGCCCTCCCCGACCACTGGCCACTCGGCCAAGCCCTCCCCGACCACTGGCCACTCGGCCAAGCCCTCCCCGACCACTGGCCACTCGGCCAAGCCCTCCCCGACCACTGGCCACTCGTGTTAACTATTCCCGCGAAGAGACACGGAGCACTGCGGCTGCTATGTCGTTGGTGGCATATGTTAGTCTCTCCTGGAAGACTGATCCGCTATTGCACTCATCAATCCTCTCCGTTCGTAAATGCAGGTCCTTCGTGTGGTTTTGAGTTGCGGTGTTTACCTGGTGTTGCGTGGTTCCTGAAGTGTGAGTAGTGTCGCTAGTGTGTTGAGCTGAGGACAGCAGCGGTAAGATTGATTGATTGATACAGATTAAGCCACCCAAGAGGTGGCACGGGCATGAATAGCCCGTAAAAAAAAAAGCGGCGGTGTCTTGTTTGGCGGCTGGTGTTGGGGTAAGCGTATCCTATGTCCAAGGCCGGCCATCATCTCTTAAAATAATAGACCTGAATCCACGAAGCGGAGGAATAGCTTATAAATAAAATACTACGTCAATTTTTCACATTTTTTTCTGCCGATATTTGTGTTTTAAGGAGGGAGGGAGGGTGGGAGGAATGGAGGGTGGGAGGGAAGCATGGGAGGAATGGAGGGTGGGAGGGAAGCATGGGAGGGAGGGACTGAGTAGTGTGGTAGTGGGTGTGAGTGCAGCATCCTGGACCGCTGGAGGGAGTTGCGGGTCACGCACAGATCAGGTGGTCCAGGGTGTGGCCCTAGCGTTGCTACCCTGGACCACACCCTGGACCACACCCTGGACCACCCTGGACCACACCCTGGACCACACCCTGGACCACACCCTGGACCACACCCTGGACCACACCCTGGACCACACCCTGGACCACACCCTGGACCACACCCTGGACCACACCCTGGACCACCCTGGACCACACCCTGGACCACACCCTGGACCACACCCTGGACCACCCTGGACCACACCCTGGACCACACCCTGGACCACACCCTGGACCACACCCTGGACCACACCCTGGACCACACCCTGGACCACACCCTGGACCACCCTGGACCACACCCTGGACCACACCCTGGACCACACCCTGGACCACCCTGGACCACACCCTGGACCACACCCTGGACCACACCCTGGACCACACCCTGGACCACACCCTGGACCACACCCTGGACCACCCTGGACTCCACTACTACTAACACTGAACAAAATAATGATGAGACCAAAAATCAGTAGGAGCCATGCGGAGGATTCGAACCTCCACTCTGGGTACTGCCAAGCACACGCCTTAAACCGCTGAACCAAAATATGCGGAAAAAGTAATGTAAGCTGGGATTCAGCTGAATCCTCCAGGGCTTATAGCAGTAAATAGGTACCTGGGAGTTAGTCAGCTGTCACGGGCTGCTTCCTGGGGGTGGAGGCCTGGTCGATCACCGGGCCGCGGGGACACTAAGCCCCGAAATCATCTCAAGATAACCTCCCGAGGTTTGACACCAAAAGGAAATACTTGTATACTACGAGTATACTCTGAAATACTCGGACATACTACGGGTGCTCAACTGCACTGGAAGGCGGAGTTGGGTAAGCCACCTCCATCCACCTCTTAAAGGGCCAGATTCGACAAAGAACTCGAACGTAATGATCGCTGAATTGTTTCGAAACAAGAAGGCCAGTAGTTAGTGGTATAAAGAGGCAGACGTCACTCCACCATAGTCAGTGATAGGTTAGTAATGATGGGTAAGTAAGCACTTACCCATCATGGTTATGTAAGCACTTACCCATCATGGTTAAGTAAGCACTTACCCATCATGGTTAAGTAAGCACTTACCCATCATGGTTATGTAAGCACTTACCCATCATGGTTAAGTAAGCACTTACCCATCATGGTTAAGCAAGCACTTACCCATCATGGTTATGTAAGCACTTACCCATCATGGTTAAGCAAGCACTTACCCATCATGGTTATGTAAGCACTTACCCATCATGATTATGTAAGCACTTACCCATCATGGTTAAGTAAGCACTTACCCATCACCCATAACCCCCCATTACCCATCATGGGGAGTTATGGTAAATGTCTGCGATAACGAAAGCTGTGTACCTTTAACACTGCGACCTTTGACTTATTGCTCCCAAACCAAATCAATTCTCTCCTCAACACCCACCAGCCTAAGTCATTGTATCGTGCGTGTTGACGGGCTGGCGGGCACACGTATCTCCAGGGTTGTGTGTCTTGCGGTCCTACAGCCAGCCATCTATCTGCACATGATAACGTTTTACGGTCAGTGGTGTGCAAGGTTAGGTTGGGGCACGCTTGCTCTCTGTTGACCAGGCCACAGACTCGAAGGTGAAGGGACGACGACGTGTTTCGGTCCGTCCTGGACCATTCTCAAGTCGATTGTCTTGGTCCAGGACGGACCGAAACGTCGTCGTCCCTTCACCTAGTGTGTGGTCTGGTCAACATTAGCCACGTTATTGTGACTCATCGCCTCCACGCTTGCTCTCATTGGGTACGAACATACACAGAGGAGACTAGCTTGAGCTACCTCATCCCTGCGTGTGTTTATACCTCAATAAACTTGTTTCAATCCAATCCGCTGCCATTGCCAGGACGGAGGACGACGCCTCAGCTAGAGGAGCTGAGCCATCACAAACATGGTCTTCCTTACACACAGAAATCACAATTGCGTGATGCATCAAATGAACAAATCCACAAGGGCCGTGACGAGGATTCGAAAGGCAGATTAAGGCAGCGTCTGGGATGCTCTCGGACGCAGGTTCGAATCCTCGTCACGGCTCTTGTGGATTTGTTTATAGTCTTCATTCCCTTGCTGCTCCCTTAAAACTGAGTCAAATTTACCCCTTGCGCCGTCAACATCCATCATGCGTAGCAACTTGTCTCTCTGACCTTGACCCCATCCTTTGACCCTACCGCTCGGTGATGAATTCTGTGCCTTCCAAACTACAAAAGTTGGCTTAAACTTTGCTCCTTTCCCCCCTTCCCTATCCTCCCATGATGGGTTAAAGTCGCCTTCATACGGACGAAGACATACTAACGTACCTTCCAAAGTTGCACACGAAGAGGTTGGGGAAGCCACCTCCAGCCACACTATTAAGAGCAGATTCGTTAAGCAGTACGAACGTCCCTCAGCCCGTCCTCTCAATAGCACGTCGTATTTTGACGTATACTCTACCTAAGGCCAAAAACTGTCGTACTAGAAACTGATCGCGGCTCGGGCAAATTGACATGCTGTCCCGTTTTCTGTTTTGGGCCCTCTGTAAGGTTAGGATAAGGGGGCACTTTAGTACGACAGTTTCTCGACGTTGGGACAGCTTAGAAGGACGGGCAGCGTTATAACAATTAAGTTACAACTCACAGGTACAAGAAGGCTAGTAAGAGTGCTAGAAGAGTAAGCTAGTAAGAGGCAAAAGCTAGTAAGTAAGAGCTAGTAAGAGGCAAAAGAGTGCTAGAACTCCGGCAGTCAGTGACGGGTAAGCACGGGGAGGGACCCACTTAATTAGCCAAGCTAAAAACACCTCTGTCAACTTTCCCTTTCTGTCAAGCAGAAGGGGAAATAGATCAATTTTTTGGGGGGGGGGAGATAGAGTCCATACATGTATTGAAAAGCATATTGAAAATAATCCCTTTAATCCTTTGGAGGTAAAGGAGCGGGTCCCCAAGAGTTAACATTCAACCCCAGAACCACCAACACCCACCACAACCTGTCTCAAAGCGTTATATGACAAAGAGTGCTGGGAAGACGGGACACCACGAGCATAGCTCTCATCCTGTAACTACACTTAGGTAATAGGTTAGCTTAGGTAATAGCTCATCCGGTAACTACACTTAGGTTTTGCCCGAAACGCATTGCGTAATAGTGGCTTTAGGCATTGTATGTACTAGCTCTATCTATATATCAATCCATTAATGTAACATCACTTGTATGTATATACCTTACCTGAATAAACATCTGAATCTGAATCTGAATCTGAGGTAATTACAACCCCCAGAACCACCAACAGAGAACATAACAGCACTCGCAAAAAAGTGATTAGATAATGGTCGACGGTTCCCATTGTTATCAATCAGACGAGAAAGATGGTAAGTCGGTGTCAGTGATGAATTAGCAATATAATGATACGTAATTGGCTTGTCATGTTACGAAACTGTGGACTGAATTGGGCTGTTAGATTACCTGTGTGAAGCTGTAGGGTTATTGGGCTGTTAGATAGAGTGCACACATATACACAAGGTGTATATGTGCACCTTGTTTCACATGTTCCAAGGTCATGTGGGTACAGGTTCCATTGTGCATCGGTATAAGTATTTTGAAGTGTATGTGCGCGCGTGGGAACATGCGCGCGCGTGGCATATGCATTGGGGGGGAGGAGGGAGTGTTGGCCCTGACCTACCTGCCTCCGCTAGTGGCCAGAGACGCGCGCGCGCGCGCGCGCACACACACACACACACACACACACACACACACACACACACACACACACACACACACACACACACACACACACACACACACACACACACACACACACACACACTACATACAGGCTTTAAAGTCGATAGTAACCGGCCCCCACCCACGTCTCTTCCCGTCTCCAAAGGCTTCCTAGCCGACACACTCCCTGCCTCCTCCAGCCGACTCGACGCCGCCTTTCGTGAGTGATTCCCCTCGATTTGTTTCCTCCCAGGTACAGTCAAATCTCCATCCATCTTCTGAATTGTCGAGCACACCTGTCAGCCGCCCGCTCACGTTCCCTCAACACCCCCTAACGCCGCCCACAGGAAACTCGACGCTCCTTTCCGCTTGAATTGGGCTGAACGCGTGCGCGCTGCTTCCTCCTGCATAGCCTAATGCTGTCATGTCACTCCCACACTCGCACTCAACCCTCCCACGTGAGGCATGCCGCCCACACACACGCGCGCGCACACACTCCCCCAGCCTTCCCTGCCTCCCTCACATCCACTCTCCCCCACACCTCTTCCTTCCTTCCCTTGCGTCAATACATACATGCAATACACCCTTTGCATGTTATCCCTATTTTCCTGCACTACGCTGTAAGTAAGACACACACACACACACACACAC